CCAAAACCCCAAAACCCCAAAACCCCAAAACCCCAAAACCCCAAAACCCCTTATTTCTATATATTACAGAAACTCGTTAGAATTTAAATTAAAAAATATGAATTCAAAAGGTAGCAATTAATCGTTATCAACTTCATCTTATCTAAAATACATCTAAAAGTTTAGGAATTAAACTACTGCTACAATAGAGAGTACAGATAGTTTTATCAATAATAAAGAAAATCTTAATAACTCATCAATGAAAAATCTAGATAAATCATATTAAGATGTAAAGCCTAAAAAGTATGACAGCAAATAATAACCTTTTGCAGAAAAAGATGTAAATAGCAAGGTAAAGCATTAATCAAATGAGAGATAAAAGTAAAAAATGAATGCCTATGAATACCAAATTGATCACTCAAACATATCTCAGGATTAAAGTACTTCTAGCTTAATCAAGAGAATCTAAACTCAAGAAGATTAAACAAAGGATATAATGAGAGTTATAAAGCTGATATAAGCATAAAATGAGAGCTTAGAGGAGGAAAATCATGTTGTCAAAGAAAACATAAGATTAATTAGAGACAGTGTTTAGAATTTAGCTGGTAAATCAGATGAAATAAAAGTAGTAGAAGAAAAAATGCAAGAAATCAAAAAAGGGTTTGAATCAGATTTGAAATAAATAGGAAAAGAACTTGCCAAAGACATAATTTCATTAAATAAAAAATTAGAGTAAAAAAATAAGAGTATAAATGAATAAATACTTGAATTTGACAAGAAACTTTTAGAAATAAATGAAAGATAGATTAAATTGTCAAAGGCCTATTAGACATTCTGCAAGAAAGAGACTCATTAAATAGATTAAGTTAAAAAAGCATAAGAAGATAAAAGCCGTGAGCTGTCATAAAATTTCGATACATTGACCAAAAAAATATAAAATATAGCAAGGGAGGTATAAAGCAACAAAAGAGAAAAGAAATTAAAAAAACCAGCTTTTATAATCTCAGCTACTTAATCTTTAAATACCACTGATGTTTATAATTCAAAGAATATTGATGAAAAGTAATTGAACTAAACTGGACCACTGCTAGATACTATTAATGATCCTATCTATAACAAAAAACAGCATGAAATTATGTAAAGAATACTAAGTTTAGAAAAAGACCTATTGGATATCAAGAATACTGGTAAAGAAGAGAGCAATTTTAACTCTTAAAGCATGAAATTAATTGAAAATCAGAACCGATTAAATCAAACTTCTCATAGTTATGATTATGGAAGAAATTAATCACCAGATTTTAGAATGCCTAGATCTTAAAAACCTACTGTTTAGAGTAACAATAAGCATATAAGCCCGCTTGAATAAAGTCTTGAAAGAAGAGTATCAGATTCTAATATAAGTGATATTAGATCAGCTTACATAAGAAATGCCAAAAAGAGAGCATATTAAGGCTTGCTTGATGTCTCATTTAGCTCGGGATCAACTAGTTTTTATTATGATACTGGAAAAAGTTAAAAATAAGAATAGAGAAGACAACCAAAAATAATGAATTAAAAGAATAAAGAGCCCAAATACTCTTAGTTAAGAGGTTAAAGATCAGGCAGTAAGAAATCACTGGGGCGTAAATCTTTTGATGATATCCTAACATTTGTTAATAAAACAGCTAGAAAATCAAATAGATCAATCTCTAGAGGACCTTCATAAATGTCATTCAAGTAGAGTAACTCTAAGATTCAGAGTTAAAGAGGTGCTTAATTTGATTTGCTAGAAAGTTATATGAAGCAAAAGGAAATAGTAATGCAAGAAAGAGCAAAGAGACTAATGGATTTAAGCAATTTAAATATCACCTAGAAGAGTCATAATCAATCATAAATCAGCAGAGGACGACAACAAAAAACTAATACTATTACTTCAGTAAGTTTGAAGCATAATAAAAGATAAATAAAGCCTAATTAGAGCAGAAAATGACTCCTTTTGATTTTATCATTAGCTTTATATACTTCGGCAAACACTATACTTAATTAACTATTATCTCAAGAACTTTTATAACTAATTAATCTTAGCTAAATATTTATGTAAAGTGCAATAAACTTAATAATAAAAATAATAAAATGTCTTAAATTTCATTCATCTGTAATTACTTCTGCAGTATAGTTACCTTTATCGCTATCTTTTTCTTTGGATTTTTGGTTTGGCAAGAGAACTAAAAGAATGAATATCTACTAAAAACTTTCTAAAATAATGGGGGTGAAAAGGAACGAATTGAGACTTTAACAACAGTTATGATAATCAATGGAATACTTTTTATTGTAATTTATTTCATATATTTTAAACTTTATAATAATAGGTATTTGTTGTTTTGCTCTGCAGATAAAAGCCATAGGAGACCGAGTAACCTACTCCTGAATGGAAATTTGCATACAAGATTGAGAAGCCTACCCAGTTCGATTGAAGGGCTGAATTCAAAAATCAGTAATTAGGTTAAGAATAAGACTAATATATTCCCAGTTTACTTTATGATATAAATTACTTTGATAATTTGAGTTATAGTTTAATAATAAAATCTTAGAATCAAATTAGCATCATGGGGTTTTGGGGTTTTGGGGTTTTGGGG